GATGATAAAAGAATAAAGCAAAGCAAGAAACAATCACCATAAAACTTTCAAGGCAATGATTAAATAGGGGTGGGGATTGTGGCAGGTATTATATTTGGGAAGAATCTCTATAGATGTCCCTCTGGGGTACTGGTCATGTTCTTGACCTGGGTGGTACGTAACTGTTCAATTTAAAATAACTTAATAAGCAATAGCTTATGTGCTTTTATGTGTGTATTAAAGTTAATAAAATATTTAATATCATTAAAAATATTTTAAAGGAATGCACATTTACTTTTTAAAATATCAGGAATTAGGTACAAGAATCTTAGGATGCCGGTGGGGAACAAATTGCTGGAAATGTAAAGCAAAATTCCTACAGCTAAGATAACTAGGAACTGCTATTACACTAGCTAGCTCCTTTCTCCCCCCAGACACATCTGTCTTCATAGGACCTAAATTAGCCACTAAACGAAGACTCCCCCAACCAGTGGTCAGGTTTGTTTTTTTTAATTAGCACTTTAAAACCATCATACCTATGGGGGAAAATTAAATAACAAACATCTAGAACTGGCCCCATGTTTTAAACACGTCTTATTGCTCACTTCTTCACATTACTGCTTCTGACCATGAGGCACAAAGAACTTGCATGTACTGTGTTTCTAGAAAGGTACTCCAGGTCTATTTCTATCACTAAGGTTGTGGCTGTCTTCTTCCCTCCTCTTTAAGGGTTTATATGTTTTAAGGCTCACATGCTTTCAACAATGCTTGATCTTAGAGGCTTGACCTTTGAAGATTCCTGTCCACAAAACCATATTCGCATTATACTTAAACCACATGTGGCATGCCTGGACCAGACATCTCTTTTTTTTTGAGATGGAGTTTCACTCTTGTTACCCAGGCTGGAGTGCAATGGCGCAATCTCAGCTCACTGCAACTTCCGCCTCCTGGGTTCAGGCAATTTTTCTGCCTCAGCCTCCTGAGTAGCTGGGATTACAGGCATGCACCACCATGCCCAGCTAATTTTTTGTATTTTTAGTAGAGACGGGGTTTCACCATGTTGACCAGGATGGTCTCGATCTCTTGACCTTGTGATCCACCCACCTCGGCCTCCCAAAGTGCTGGGATTACAGGCTTGAGCCATAGCACCCGTCCCAGACATCTCTTAATTCCAGAAAGCCTCCAATCTCATCTTGCCACAAATGACAGCCACTACATTCACAGAGAGGAAACACATTGGTAACAACTACATTTTCTCACTGAGAAAAAATTCAATCTAAAGTAATTGCCACTGAGGTTCTGCTACGTATAGCTAACAACATTAAAGTCTAATTGGGTTATTTCAAAATTAGTCACACTGATTTATTACAAATGGTCTCAGGAGAAGAGCCTCAAGAGTCCTGTTGGCCAAACTGAACTTTTCAGACAAATCCATAAACAAGGACAGCAATGAGGTCCAACAGCTCATGGGTCCCTCTGAGACTCACTTAGGTATCACTCAACTTTCTAAGGTTTCATGTAGAATGAGTAACATCTGACAACTACTTCTTTCCAGTTCACTTGCTCACCGCCAAGGCCAATTAGTCACTTCTGGATTAACTACATGCAAGAGGAAAAAGAGATGAAGATGGAAAAACAAGTTTCAGTTAATATAAAATGCTCTGCAGAAGCTGGAGGATGAGCAGCATAAGAAAATTCATTCAGGGCCTGGTGCAGTGGCTCACGCTTGTAATCCCAGCACTTTGAAAGGCTGATGTGGGCAGATCACCTGAGGTCAGGAGTTCAAGACCAGCCTAGCCAACATGGCAAAATCCTGTCTCTACTAAAACTACAAAATTAGCTGGATGTGGTGGCACATGCCTGTAATCCCAGCTGCTCAGGACGCTGAGGCAAGAGAATTGCTTGAACTGTGGAGGCAGAGGTTGTGGTGAGCCAAGATCATGACATTGTACTCCTGCCTGGGCAACAAGAGCGAAACTCCGTCTCAAAAAGAATTTAAAAAAAGAAAGAAAATTCATTCAGGATGATCATTGTGGATGAGAATTAGGTGATTAGGGCTGCAGAGACCAGTGAGATTTTTTTAAAGTTGTTCTCGCATGAGGATTCAAATACAGAAGACGCATGTAGCAGAAGAGAAAAGACAGACTTGAAACCAGAAAAAAAAAATCCCTGATATTTAACGAGTGTTTTAGAAAAGCAAAAATAATATCAATTTGAACTCAGCACATCAGCTGAACAAAAAGGAAATAAAACTAACATTTGTTTGTTCCTGAGTCTAATTAGAGCCAGAAAATCCTTAGTTACTCCCTAGTTAGTATCCAGCCAAAACAATAAGAATCAGAAAATCAAGTAAGAATGCAGTTTATTCAACACACAAATTGAGCATGTCAACAAAAGCCATCTCTTTGACCAAATTTCTCATATTTGTGCTTTATACCACTTGATTCTCCACACCCAAACAAAGTCACAGCTACAAGGAGACGAACGAAAGCTAACTCCAAGAGCGCCTTCATGATACCAGATCCAAAGCAACCGCCTCTCAGGATGCAGACCACAGAATGAAGCCCAACCGGCTGCCTCACGTGATTTTATAGCGCACAATGAACTCAGGTGTTGCATATGCACACCTCCTAAGGCCTGACCATGTACTCAGCCCAGTTTTCTATAAATCCTAGCCTTCCTTGAGTACCTGGGCTCTAAAGTTCAAAAGAGTAGGTAAAGATGAAAATTATTGTACCTAGAGATCTGTCTCTTTTTTAGGTAATGTCATGCCATTTTTTTTTTATTTTAGGATCTGTTATTGTAGGGGTAATTTGAGCAGCACAAGGAGACCCTACCTGACTTACTGATGTGCCTGAACCTCTTACCCACCTGTTTTATATTCAGCATTTCAGCAATCCATCTTACCACGTACACTATTGGAGCACTTCAGCAATCCCTCCATCTGTACACTAGTGTGGATTTTTTGTAATTTAATAATTTATCATAAACAGCTGTAGTATTATAAATGTTTGGGACTTTTTACTTTAATGCGATAGTAATGCAGGCAGGTTTTACTTAAGAATACAAATCCAAAGCCAAAATTTCTTAATCATTTTGTAAATATCTAGATCTCTTCAAAAAGTATTCAGGAATCCATGGTAATCTATTAAAGAAAAAAACTATTACCATGTGCAAGTACTTACCTTATACACTAGTTTCTGTCCCCACTTTGTTCTACAATGACCTCATGCCTATTTTTCTCTTTCGTCATACTCCTAGAAAAAGCTATTTATACTCATTCTTTTGGGTTTCTTTCTTCTCATCCTTCCTTCAACCTGATCCAGCCAACTTTCACCCACACCTCTTCACCAAAACTGTCCTTTATCAAAGTCACCAGTGCCCCTCACATTGCTATATCTACTGGTCAACCCTTAGTTCTCATCCCACGTAACTTTACAGCAACAGTTGATAACAGTTGACAGCTCTACCTGTATGGCTCCCAGGACCACACTCTGCCATGGTTTTACTTCCAGTTGCCCTCACTGTCTTCTCTTTGGCTCGTTCAACGGTTTTTGACTTCTCTCAGCTCCCTCTTAACATTGGATATCCCAAAACCCAAAGTTTGGACTGATTCTTATCATTTTCCTCACTTATTTGCTTTGAACTCATGCAATCTTACTGGCTTTAAGTACTAGTATGTGCTGATGAATCCTAACGTTCTACATCCAGTCTGGGCCTTCTCCCTCTGAACTCCAGTCCTATATATTCAACTACTTACTTGCTCTCTCCTCTGGGAGATCTAAGCAGCATCTTATACATGACATTTTCAAAATAGGGTTTCTGAACCAACATCTTCCACATTTTTATCCAAGATAGTAGCATCTCCCACTTTACAGTAGGTCGTAAATCCTAAACTCTCAAATTCTTCTAATGTACTTTATTTTTAGCTGTCTGCAAATCCTTAGATCAATCACCTGATCTCTTCCTATAGATCCATGCTAAAACTAACATGGTTCTTATTCTAAACCAGGATTCCCATTCTCAGTACTATTGACTTTGGAGCCAGATAACACTTTGCCATCAGTGGGTGTCTTAGGCACTGTCAATGTTCAGCAGCATCCCTGGGCCTACACAGATGCCAGTAACACACTAACACCATCACTGTGACGAACAAAGCTGCTTTGAGATACAGCCCTCAGAGGGTAATATTGCCCCTGGATGAGAACCGCTGGCCTTGTCATCATCACTACCTAATCCCTCTCCCTACTTCAGTCTTTGCTCCCTCTCGGTGTTCATTCTCCATCCAGCAGCCAGGGTGATCCTGATAATAAAAACCCAAGTCAGATCACGTCACACCTCCATCTGGAACTTTCCAGGGGGTTCCCATCTTATTTCAAACAAAAGCGTGTCCATCAACTTTGAGAAATTAGATGATGCCCTCCGCTCATTGTTTTAGGTGTTTGGGTTGTTTTAAGACTTCATCTGTATGACTTCCCCTCTCCAGTCTTGCTGGCCTTGTTCAGCAAACACTCAGCAACTTTGCACCAGCTGTTCCCACAGTTTTGAACAACCTTTCCTCCAGGATCTGCAGGGCTCATTCCCTCACCTCCTCCAGCTCTTTCCTCAATCATCACCTTTGAGGGATGCCTTCCCTGATGCCATAGTTAGAACCACAACTCTCACCCCACTTTCTCGCCCCCCATCTTCTTTCTCTCCCTCTGTTTACTCTTTCTTAGAATACTATAAAGTATGTTTTCTGTGCATACTCTGCCTCCTCCTACTAAAATGTGAACTCCATGAGGGCATCTTTGTGGAATAAATAAATGATTAGGCACTGTTACCAGGACCAACCACAGCTAAGCCTTAGCTAATGGCATGAATCAGCAACTGAGAAAAGTTAGTAACTGCACCCTTAAAAACCTATTTCTAAGGAGCATTGAAGCTTACAAGCTTATAATTATATGCAAGTCAGTCTTGCAATAATTAGAAACAAATATATAATAGTACAAACTTTATTCATAAATAAAACTTCATGAGGTTAAAAGTAGGGAAAGTTCCCATTTTAAAAGGGAAATAGTAGAAGGCAGCCTGCCATTTTATTTAAAATCTCAAGTTAGGTTTTTCAGGTGGATGATGGTTGAGATCATTAAATCCCCTTCCTGCTTCTCAGATTTTCACAAAATAGCACAGTAAATCCTCAGTCCTAAGCAGCCATGGCAGAGATTTCAAATTGCCTCTCAATACCAAAGCAGACAGCACTGTTTCTTCTCTTGCAATAAAGGCACTCATTTGATGAACAAGGGCCTATAGCAGTCAGATTCTTACTGAAATGGAAGACAGGAAGAAAGACAAAAGAAAAATTGGAAGTAATACATCCCAATGTCAACATTACTTTGCTACTTCTAAGAGCCTGTTATTCATAAGTAAAGCAATACATATGTATGGGAGTAAGGGAAAAGGTATAAGTGGGAACTGAGGGAGGAGAAGAAAGAGAAAGTAAATATTCTATCCTTGAGACTGTATCCTTAGTGTACAATGATTCAAGTGAGGTATGTATAAGTGAATAAGGATACTTCTGCCCTCTAAGTTATGAAGTACATTCCAAACGTTCTAGGTGTCCTGTTTACTCTCTATTAAACATAGCTCCATCCTTTTATTAATACCCAAATATTAATACATGTGGATTTTTCTTTTCTTTTTGAGACCGTCTCACTCTGTTGCCCAGGCTGGAGTGCAGTGGCACAATCTTGGCTCACTGCAACCTCTGTCTCCCAGGTTCAGGTGATTCTCCTGCCTCTGTCTCCTGAGTAGCTAGGATTGCAGGTGCGTACCACCACACCCAGCTAATTTTTGTATGTTTAGTAGAAAGGGAGTTTCACCATGTTGGTCAGGCTGGTCTCGAACTCCTGACCTCGGGATCCACCCATCTAGGCCTACCAAAGTGTTGGAATTACAGGCATGAGCCACTGTGCCCGGAAGGATTTTTCATAATATACCTTCATATGGGACTCAAGAATGAAAAACTGTAGTACAATCATTTGATACTTCCCAGAAAAAGTTGCAACACAGATTTATGACACTTCTGAGCTCACTTTCCCAGGGATCATCAACATATCTAAGCCACTTTGTAGGCTCAGTGTTAATAGTCACTTATTATAATTCAGAACTTTGTTGATATTGAAATTGGTAGGTATTTTCCTTTTAATTATAGTATTTCATGTAGTACCCAAAATGACTAGCTCTTAGTCATATGGTGTTCCCAGTTAGTAACAGATTATCAAGACCACCGTGATCAAGAAAATCTTCAACAAACATAGGAAAGCATGAACTTGCATTCTTGAACTGGGAACATTTTAGGCACAATGCACCTTAGTACAAATTATGCCATTTCCTTCACAATTGTATTGACTGGTATCTAGGACATACCTGGACAACAATCATTAGATGCCAGTTTTGAGAGTTCTTACCAAGATTGTGTTGTAGAAGTTACTGCCTCATCTTCATTCGCAATGTGTATCCTCACATCTATCTCCCATTCAGTAACATTTTCCCCATCTCTCATTTCAACTGCATTTAAAAGAGGATTCTGACTAAAGTAAGAGAGAAATATCACATAGCGGTTAAGATCTACTCAGATCTTAGCATTTACAAGGCTGAACTTGGGGCCAAATTCCTATTATTAGTAGACATATTGATTTCTGCTTTTTCTGCCTCCCACCCCACTCCCTGCCCCACAACATCACAGGCAGGGTGGCGCTAAGAAGCAAAAACTTAATAAACAGACTTCTGGGTCCAACTTATTGATTCCACAATCTACCAGCAAATGATATTAGCCACGTAACTTAATTTCTCCGTGTCTCAATTTTCTCACCCTGAATTTGGCATAACAGTATCCACCACCACATTTGGGGGTCTGTAGTCCCGGATACGTGGGAGGTCGAGGAGAGAGACTTCCTTGAACCCAGAAGTTCGAGATCCGTCTGAGCAAAATAACGAGGTTCCACGACTTAAAAATAAAAAAATAAAAAAGAATAGTATCTACCTCATTGAGTCACCAGGAGGAACAAATGCATTCAGATGAGCACAGTGTAGGCATACAGTAAGTGACTTATAAATGTCAGCCACTATTATCATTATTATCTGTGGGAAGAGCACTGTGTAATATGGCCCTTCCATAATTACTCAGGGAAGAATATTTCAGTTCAGGATTTTAACCAGAAAAAGCTAATTGAAAAATTACCCAAAGTCCTGCCAAGTATATCATCACACTTTTGCTAAGACCTGATCAAAGTGGCTGCTAATCTTTTCTAAATATTTTTTAGTTTTCATTTTTGTGGGTACATAGTAGGTATATGTATTTATGGGGTACATGAGAAGTTTTGATACAGGCATGTAATATGAAATAAGCATTTAGACTTTCTCAAAAATGTCAATTAATAAAACAAAACAAAAAAAAACCTGATCTTAACCCACAAATCCTGTTTTAAGACGTCTCTCTCCCACCAGTGTCAGCCCTGCCTAGCACATGCTGAACCTGATGAGTTCAGTATCATTTAGACGTCATTATACCTTCTCTTATTGCCTTCAGGAAACTTGCATATGGGCTCAAGTTTAAAACTTAAATAACTTGATTTGGTTGGCTAAGACCTATCGGGTTTTCAGTGACCCTGAAAAGAACTAAGTTCTTTTATATCAAAAACTAAGTCATGATTTCATTTTTCAATAATATTCCTAGTATTCCTATGTTCTAGGAGACAGTTGTAACATTTTGAGGACTACAAGGCCAAGTGATATGGTTTGGAATCTGTGTCCCCACCCACATCTCATGTTCATTGTAATCCCCAATACTGGAGGTGGAACCTGGTGGCAGGTGACCGGGTCATGGGAGTGGACCCTTCATGAATGGCTCAGCACAGTGATCCCCACACCTTTTGGCACCAGGGACCAAGTTTGCGGTAGACAATTTTTCCACAGATGGGGGGGTGATGGTTTGGGGATGAAACTGTTCCACCTCAGATCATCAGGCATTCGATTCTCATAAGGAGGGTGCGACCTAGATCTCTCACATGCTCAGTTCACAATAGGGTTCATGCTTCTATGAGAATCTAATGCCACCACGAATCTGACAGCAGGTACAGCTCAGGTGGTAATGTGGGCTTACCGCTCACCTCCTACTGTGCAGCCAGGTTCCTAAAAGACCAGGAACCACTACAGGTCCATGGCCCAGGGTTTGGGGACCTCTGGTTTCACACCATCCCTTTGGCGCTGGTCTCATGATAGAGTTCTCGGGAGATGCGGTTTTCTAAAAGTGTGTAGCACGTCCCCCCACCACTTCCTCCTGCTCTGGCCATGTGAGGATGCCTGCTCCAGCTTTGCCTTCTGTTGTCTTCTGCCATGAGTAAAAACTCCCTGAGGCCTCCCCAGCCTTGATTCCTCTACAGCCTGCAGAACAATGAGCTAAACTTTTCTTACAAATTACCCGGTTTCAGGTATTTCTTTATAGCAATGCAACAGAAGACTAAGACACCAGTGGTCAAGAGATTTGTGTGCACATTAGGGTTTGGTGTCTCCCCAATCCCATCACTGGTTGCACCATTTAGCTTTTCAGGTTTGGGATTTTTATCTGGACAGTAAATGAAGGCAGGGGCTAGCACAGGGGTCTGGCACTCCATACTCACTTGCGGACAACACACGACAGAGGCATTTCAGATCGGACAGTAGAATCTCTTGAGATATACTTGATTTTAGTTCTAAGCAGAATAACTTCCTGGAGAGGCTACAAGACAAAGAGACGTTTTAAACCCATGTTTGTCTCAAGTATCTCAGGAAACTTAGAGGCAGTTACTTAAATAGGAATTTATAGATACATCAAGCTTCCTAAAAATGGTCACACTCTCACTAAACTATAAACAGCATCTGTTCATGGGAAACAGGACCATTTTCCAAATGGACAAATGTGTTAAAATCTGGCATAGTGCTTGTACATAAAAGGCAAGCAATACTTGTTAGTTCAAAGAGAAAGGAGCTTTGGGATTCAAATTTGAGAAAGCATTTGGCACCTCTTTTTGAGACACACAGTTGTAGTGATGCATTGCTTATTCAAAGAGAGCATGGGCTTTGAAATCATAGAATCATGTTTGGAATTTGGAGCTGCCTCTACTCATCATGAATTCTTGGAAACTGTGTTTAAACAATTAAGTCTGTTTTCTTATTTCTAAAAAAAAAAAAAAGCAATAATTGTGGTGGTAAAGAATAATAGTAATTAAGTTCTCAGCACGTCGTAAATACCTAACAGGAAGAATAGCTGTTTTCAGGGGGAGTGGAGTTAACACACTTAATAGTAAAATATTTTTCTAAGAACATTTTGTATATGCTTCTCAATATAAGGCCCAGTACTTGACAGCATAGGAGGATAAGATGATTCAGAGATACCCATATTCATTACATAATTTTAAATGTTTCTATTTCCTTAGATCTATCCTGCTCTCTTTGGATAATTTGAAGATATATGCATAGATAAAATGAAATTAACATACTACCACCACTCAAATTCTTCAGTTAACATGTGAATATTCCTCCCCCCTCCCTAGTTTATATCAAGGTTGACAGTGCCCACCTAATACATGCTGTGGTGTATTAGACCTGGAATGTGCTTCCCAGATACCCTAAGGGCTTGCTGCCCTGGCTGCTGAGCATGCTGTTACCAGATAGACTATAGCCTTCAGCCTTCAGCTCTCAGCTCTCAGCCCCTCCAGGAATTGTGGAGCTGCTGAGGGCTGTCTTACCCATGGCCACACCCCTCTCCCAGGGTGGCCACTTCAGATCACCTACCCAGCAGGAATGTGAAGCCCTGTGCAGGGTCAGCCAAAGCTGTCTTTGAGCCCACATCACAGCTCAGCTTTGCTCTTTGCCCAATCTTCTTTCTCCAAAAGCACTTCTTTTTTTTTTTTTTTTTCAAAAGCACTTCTTAATAAATATTCTGCACACTCAATTCTACTTCAAATTTTGCTTTTGCGTTCTATGTTACCCAATCTGTGGCATTTATCTAAACCTGATGAAGTTCTATTACTTCTCTTAGCATTTTATTTGGGATTATGAAAAAAATAAGTAATATCATAGCAAGATTTTACTAATTTTAAAAACTTTTTAAATCAAGTCAAAATTCCAGTTATACTGTTATCAGTGATATGCACAATGACTTAATATACCCAAAATATCTGAGGAAGGGCTAGGGCTGGGAGATTAATGAATATTTACTTTGAAAAGGCTTCTAACGCTTGATTAGTGTTACTCCCTCCATCTAGTTGCAACTGACCAAACTTCATGAATTATAACAAATAATTAGTAGAGAAACTGCTGAAAAACCTTGTGATACATGGAAAATACTTCTCTCCTTCAAAACTTTCAACTCTCCAGCCTGCTTTATCACTAAATGAATAATTAGTGTTTGCAATTACCACCCAAAAAGAAAAAAAAAAGTATTTAGCATCTTTCTCTTTTTTTTTTTTTTTTTTGAGACAGATTCTTACACTGTCACCTGGGCTAGAGTGCAATGGTGAGATCTCAGCTCACTGCAACCTCCATCTCCTGGGTTCAACCGATTCTCCTGCCTCAGCCTCCCAAGTACCTGGGATTACAGGCACATGCCACCATGCCTGGCTAATTTTTTGTATTTTTAGTAGAGACGGGGTTTCGCTATGTTGGCCAGACTGGTCTTGAACTCCTGACCTCATGATCCACGATCTCAGCCTCTCAAAGTGCTAGGATTACAGGCATGAGTCACCGCACCCAGCCAACATCTCCTTTTTTAACTGCTTCTGTCCTAAATGTGATAATTAAAGAGTTTAGCCATATTACAAATAGACAGTGACTTCTAGTTTGGAGGTGTGTTGAAGGAACCATAGGACACTTGGGTTTTAAGTAAGACAGTCATTTCTCTTACTTGAGATATGATACCACAGTCATGAGGATGGTAGAAAAACTCATAGTAGACATCTGGCAAAGAATAGGTTACAGGGCAGCCATCTCCTAGAAACACTTCATCAGAATTCATATACACATTGTGAAATATCGTGGGTTTAATCCTGGCACAGAACCAAAACTGGGTGCACTGTACTTGAATAGCTGAAAAGCAGAAAAGAGAAACTTTCTGTTAGTATGCAGTTACAGGGATCACCTCAAAAAATTTTAGCGTACCCAGTTCATACAAATGAAGAGATTATCCGTTACTAAAACAAAATGTCTTCAGAGGTGAACAAGTTTGCAATACATGGTCTCTGTGTTATAAATACACACATATATACTCATCCTTCAAATACACTCTTTAATGAATCTATATGCAGGGGGGAGAAGTCAATACAAAATAAGATTTTGTCTAACTCTCCAAAGTCACTTATCATAGAACTAGAATCACAAGACTATATCTATAGTATTTATCCTAAGTATAGAGGATTTTCTGTCTCCCTTGTTCAAACAAAGCTCTTTGAAGCAAGCCCTTTCATTTTGATGGAAGCAAACAAGTTTCCATTTTCATATCCACAGTTTCATGATACATAAAGACTTGTCCAGAAAACTCCAGCTAGCAATCAGGCTTTTATAGAAACTGAGTGAAAACAGTGCTATCCTTTCTCTTCTATCTTGAAATATCTGGACATTAGGCTTTTTAAATTTGGAATTGGAAATAATTTTCTGATATAATCTACTACTTGAGTTAGGTCCCAAGGAAGAGAATTAGTACAAACTAGGAATTATGAGACTGGGTAGCATAAGTTTTTTGTTTTTGTTTTTTAAGTTTGGCTATTCTTCTAGACTTCACTAAAGGAATACTTTATCAGTTGCACTTAAGATACTAGAAGGAGCCTGAGTCAGGAGACACTGAAAACTCAGTAGAGAAACTGAAACTTCCTTCCCCCAGGCAGGAAGTGGTGGCTCAAGCCTGTAATTCTAAAGCTTTGGGAAGCCAAGCTGGGAGGATTCCTTGAGGTCAAGAGTGGTAGACCAGCCTGGGCAACATAGCAAGTCTCTACACCACCACATCCAGCTAATTTTCATATTTTTAGTAGAGATGGGGTTTCACCATATTGGCCAAGCTGGTCTCAAACTCCTGGCCTCAAGAGATCTGCCCACCATGGTAGATCACTTTTGTTTAAAATTAGCAGTTCATGGCTGCAGTGAGCTAAGATGGCACCACTGCACTCCCACCTGAGAAAGAAAAAAGAAAGAAGAAGCAAGTGAAAGAGAGAGAGAAGGGAAGAAGAAAGATAAGAGAGGGGAAAGAAGAGAAAAAAAGAGAAAGAGAAAGACAAGAGAAAAGAAAGAATATGAAGGGAAAGAAAGAGGAAGAGAAAGAAAGAGGAAGGGAGAGAGGAATAGAAAGAAAGAGGAAGGGAAAGAGGGAACAGGAAGAGAAAGGGAACAGGAAGAGAAGAGGAAGAGAAAAAGGAAAAGAGGAAGAGAAAGAAGAAAAAGGAAAAAAGAAAAGAGAAAAGAGAAAAAAAGAAATGAAAGAAAGAAAAGAAAGGAAGAAAGATTCAGCATGGTGGCTTATGCCTGTTATATCAGCACTTTGGGAGGCCGTGGTGGGCAGATCACTTGAGACTGGGAGTTTGAGACCAGCCTGGCCAATATGGTGAAACCCCATCTCTACTAAAAATACAAAAACCAGCTGGACGTGGTGGTGCATATCTGTATGCCAGCTACTTAGGAGGCTGAAGCACAAGAATCAGTTGAACCTGGTAGGCAGAGGCTGCAGTGAGCCCAGATCACACCACTGTACTCTAGCCCAGGTGACAGCGAGACTCCTGTCTCAAAGAAAAAGAAAAGAAGGGAAGAAGGAAGGGAAAGAAAAGAACAAGGGAAGGAGGAGGGAATGGAGGAGAAAGGGAAAGGAAGGAAGAGAGAAAAAAGAGAGGAGAGAAAGAAAGGAAGAGAGGGAGAAAAGGAGAAAGAGAAAGAAACTGACAGCCCCAGTTTATACGCAGGGCTACCAATCATTCTGACAAGAGGTTAACAGGAGGCTAACAGCAGGAAAAGTACTGGAAAAACCTGAACCAATGGTCACCTCACTTAGGAGGCACTGACTGCTCCCTCTCCAATGAAAAGGATCGCTGGAGGATAAGGTAAAGGAAGTCTCAGCCTTTATAAATAAGGCTTTCTTCCTGTATGTGACAAACCACAGAGTCCTGAGTTCCTCCCACCACCTCTTCTGCTTTCCAGGCCACTCCACACTCTATATATGAAACCCAGTTCAAGTATTTGAGCCTCAAGAATTGATATGGTCAGAAGAAGATCAAAAGGAAGGGGGAGTTGGAGAAAGACGGTCTCAAGTTGTAGCACATTCTCTGTCTCAGAGCTGATATGCAAGAGAAAAACATGGTATCTCAAGATCACACATCTAAAAGAGACTGCACCCCTCCATGTGTGCTTGACTATTAAGATTCAAGCAGACCAAAATTTTATGTAAAGAATCCAAAGTCACATCTTTCAGCCCTCTTTAAGAAACTTCTATTCCCCAAGTCATAAGTTATACCTGAGAAGTCCCCAGCACAGGTCCATATCAAGGAATGGAGAAAAAAGAGCCCTTTTAACCTCAGAATAGTCTCCATTTGCCCAGATTGAAAACCAAATCTCTCAGGAAACAGGAAGTTGCGGAGAATAGACAGCCTTATATGCAAAATACCTGAAGCCATACACAGGTGTGGGTCATTAACTACAACTGGCCAGCACACACGCCCCATGAATATAATTTTGTTTCATTTTCTAAAACATTACACTTTTTACTCAAATTTCAAAAGACAAGATCAAAGATAAAGCAAAATGTGCTGAGTATAATAGAAAGCTCCACTTGCTTTAGAGGGCAAAGCATCAGATATATTTTTATGCACTAAGGTTTACTTTATTAAAACTTCCTAACATCCTATAACATCTGCCTCCACATCTGAACACTAAAGCAATAACTGTATGATAATTTGGTTGTTCCATGCATCTCAGAAGGCAAAGCCCTGAGAACATGAAAATTGAAAGATTTCACCTACTTTCACCTGTTTTCACCAACCAATCTCTAAACAGTGGCTCTCCAACTTAATAGACATCAGAATCACCGGGAGAGCTTGTTGAAGCACAGCTGAGTATCACTTCGTTTTCTGATTCACTAAGACTGGACTGAGACCTGAGAATTAATGGTTCTCATAAGTTCCCAGGTGATGCTCATACTGACCACCCAGGGACCACACTTTGAGAAACGCTGGTCTACAGGGTTTTGCCTTCAGGGTTCATGCTGTCTTGATGCCTATTAGCAGCAGTGCTTGCTTCTCAAGCTTTAAGGAGCATACACATCACCTGATGCTCTTGTTACAATGCAGATTCTAATTCAGAATGTCTGGGGTGAGGGCTAAGATTCTGCATTTTTAACAGTAATTTTGCTCTGCAGACTACATTGTGAGTAGCAATGCCTGAAAATAGTCACACTTAAGATTCTTTTCTTCAAAACAGAAGATGCCAACTTAAAAATGAGAAATTCAAAATTCCATTACCAGAAGAAGCCTAAATGAATGTTTGGTTCAAATACATTCTGATTTTTTTTTTCTCTAATCGCCAGTTACTAGAGTTTAGCAACTGTGTCCTCTTGTTATCATAGCCATGTACTCATAACATAGGAAGACCACCACAGGCTCTAAGCCAGCGTTGTCTGTAAAAAATATAATTGCCCTGCTAACACTGTACATGTGCTCACACTGGCACCCAGAGAAAGAGAGAGAGTCAAAACTGTTCATCTTTGCAGATGGATGGAGGGAACCAGGGCACAGCTTGGCTTGCTGGTGCCCAGACAGAGAAAAAGTTAAGCTGTTGACCCTGAAGGCAAGGGAGAGCGGGCCGTGTAGCTTTGTGTGGGAGCCTCTGGACTAAGGAGCCGAGACACGGGGGACAGTGTGAGAAAACTGTTGATGAAAGCTGCTGTTGAATAAAACCATCTCTCACCTGCCTACGGCCCCCCTGAGTGTTCTGCGCATCCACCCACTCCCTTCAGACCTCAACATGACAGCGTAGTCGTGAACCTGGCAAGCCTTCTGCAGAAGAACAAGGACCGTTTCTGCTAGATGCCGTGGCGGCCCCGGCCTCCAACACTCCTGAGCCAGGAGCAGATCAAGCAAATTAAAATGGATCTGAAGAAATTCTCTAAGATCTTTGAACAGAAGGAACGTTTGAGCCAGTCCAAGATCTCAAAGGAATTGGTGGAGAGACGGGGCACAATGATGGAACACTTCCGGAAGTACCGGAAGACAGCCCAGGAGCTCTATATGGAGCGGAAAAACGAGCGCCTGGAGTTTCGAGGAGGGGTACACTGACGGGCTGGACAGCAACGTGGACTACTGGAAGGAGGAGACCATGGAGTTCTCTGTCACTGAAGAAAGCATCTCCCTCAGGAATCAGGAGTGACTGGGGAGCGCGGCGTGCAGCGCCTGTGGTGCGAAGCGGAGGCCGCCCTGCAGGGAAGCCCGCGCGACTCCTGCCACCTCCCCGTGCTCTTGCTCTGGACTGTGACCTCGACTGGGATTCTGCCATTGCGACACATTTTTGTGCCTTTCAGCCCCTGGTGTCTGCAGTGGGGGGATTTAAGGCACCGCTAACGCTTCTTTCTTGTTTGGGGTTTTCTGTCGGAACCACCTGTGTTGGCTTCGCAGACTCTTAGCAGCGCAGCTTGCAGGATCCCACTCGACGTCAGAGGCCATGTAGTGCTCTGCGATGTTCGTGACCGTGCAGTCCGAAGTTCATACTCCTCAGGCCCGACAACACCACGAACTGTCCTTGGGGGCTCCAGAAGATGGTGTTTGCTTGCTGTTGGTCTAACATCTTGATGAGTTCAGTCTTCCCGTTGTTTTCGATGTGGTAGAAAAATACAGATATCCGCGGAGCCTCTCCGTGCAGCACGGCAAACTTACTTCCATGTGGTTCCCAGGCAAAGGCTATGATGGTTTCTTTCATTTCGACCACATCCACAGGTACCTGTTTTTCCCTCATTTGGAAAATTTCAAAATTTGTGACAACACCCTGGGTACCTTTCGGAGTCCTGTCTGCTTTCACACACAAGTAATCTCCGTTCTTCTGCCAGTGCAGCTTGCAATCCACCACATTGAAAAATTTCCTCACTCGGATCCCTTGCCTGGTAGGGAGCTGCGTCAGGGTTACCCTGGCTGGAATATCTTTGTCTTAAGGTACCCAGAAGGCAATGATGTTACCACCAGGAGACCAAGAAAAGTCTTTTATCCCAGAGATCTTCAAACTCTTCCTTTCCGAAAGACCCATAGAAGGAGTTTCATAGATACTAAGTGTACCCAGGGTCATTCTGGCCAAGAATTTACCATCATGGCTCCATTTAAAAATACGCTAATGGGCTGAGCTCTCACAGTGAAAAATCTCTCTTCTTGTGTCCAGTAAGGATGTCCCAGATGTTTATGGTCTGAGGGTCATCCTGCGTGTCCCTCAGAGGGCTGAAGTTCACCAGGTACCTTTCACAAGGTGAGAAGTAATGAGCTGAACCCCTTGGTGACTGGATCTCTGAATTTGCTTGAATTTCTCTCCCCCGCCACCCCCGATTTCATAGAGCAATGTCTCTTTGATGAAAGGTAGCCAGGTAGGTGTCCTTAGGAGACCAACGCACATACATTTTGTGTTGTTGATCTGTGTTGTTTCTTACAACTGTGTATGAATCTACAATTATCTCTAAATGATTTTTCATGTAACAAAAAAGCATAAAACCAACCAATGACTACTTTAATAAATTAACTTGGATAAGATCATTTTCAATGAAAATCAAACCCATAAAGAAAAACCCAGGGATAGGTCTGCCTTTGTGAAAGGGATCTGTGCTACAAAAAAAAAACTAGCTGAGCAAAAACAATAGGCAAAAAAATTTCAAATTTAAATAAATAGGTATCATTTGCACTCTTCTGGGGAAAAATGTTTAAGAAGTTTGTTAACATTCAGTCATCATGGTTTTGTTAGAAATAGTATCATTTACTTCCTATGATGAAGTAAATTGATACATTTCCAGGGAATAATTTAGCAATAAATACTGTTTTTAGTATGTTTATTCTTTATCACAATTCCTAATTTAATATTTTATCCCATAGAAATATTGATATGAGATTGCAACAGTTTATCTTAAAACATATCAATTACTGTACTCTTTGCAATATTAGCAAAGTAGAATCATTTCAACAATCCGTCATTTGATATGAGTTGAATCAATTGTGGGATATCAATACAATGCACTGACATTCAGCAATTAAAAATAACAAACCTGTGTACCTACAGTATATATATATATATATATACCATACATGCCTATCACACATACCTATAGTATACATATATACACAGCACACATGCATATATATATATATGTACAAAGTTTTCTATAGTATAAATTCCTTGGCAAGAGCTATGGCATTAATTTTATATGTATTACATAATATATAACATTGAATATTAATATATTAAATGTTACCATACAATATATAATTTTATATAAATTATCTACATAATTTATATATTAATTTTATATAAATTATCTACATAATTTATATATTAATTTTATATATATGCATACATACACTATGAAAAACTTTAGAAAAATTGATCACAATGGCTATCACCAAGGAATGTATTTGATGAGACTTTATTTTTTTACATTTAACATTTTCATCTTGTTTGCATTTTATATTATTTCATGAATTTTCTTAAAGCCACCTGTCTTCATTAGTACTTCCCCTGCCCTCAGCTTCTGACAGAAATATGCTTAAAACTTAGATACTGGATTTGCTTCACCTGATATACCTTTTAAGTCATTTTCTAAAATTAAGGACGACATTTTCAGATCTACTTATCTGATGCTTTTTTAACTATTTCTGAAATGGAAAAAGATAAGCAACATAGGGTATGGAGTTATAGCCGGAAGCAGCCTGCTGCAATCTAGTTTTATTCTAATTACTCATATTCATAGGCATCTTCCTTTCTTTTCTACAACAGCATGCCTTTTATTTACATTTTAAATAACGTTTTAAATTGCCCAAATAAGTCATTAAGTAACTCTCTTAATAGACTCTCTGGGAAATTTTCCCCTATCCATTCTTTGATTATATTGTGGTACAATTGGTGGTGGAAGCCACCCTAGTTGGCCTGCCATCATCCCAGCTGCAGCAGGGAGGCACCACTGGGGCTGCATGCTCCACATAGCAGGCAGGAGACCTGTCTTTCTTGGTGAGTCTGCAGGTGCCCAAACTTCGGCTGCCAAACTCAGGCATGCCTGCACTCTTGGGAACCTGGGATGCTCTCCACCCTACCCACTCTTGCAGGCTAAAAGTGCCTGCCTCCACTGTCTGGCTTCTCCCTGCTCTTGGGACCTGCTTCAATCTTGGAGCAAAGTCAAGCCAAGCCCAGGCACCATGAACAGCAGGAGGCAGCCAAAGTTATAAGTAGGAGGGGGTGGGTTTCCAGTAAGGTCCCTCTTTCAGGCCAGGGAGGGCTTGAAGGCTAGGGACCAGGCTGCCAGTCCCACCGACTCAAGTGGGAACTGGTGCCTTTTCCAGGCCCAACCACGGCCACCCATAGGCCAGTTGGCATGCACTTCCTCCCCTCTGAGGCCCATAAATGCCCTGGGTTCAACCAGAGCTGAGCAGACACAGGATGACCAGCTGCAGAGAGGAACTACCCTCTCTGCTGAGAGCTTCAGAGACCTGCAAAGATGACCAAACAACCTGCCTGCAGAGAAAAACCACCCTCTCCAGGACCTCCTCTCTGCTAACAGACATCCAGAGGACCAACTGCAGAGAGGACCTACCCTCTCTGCTGAAAGCTGAACACTCTACAGATAACCTGCCTGCCTACCGAGGGGAGCTACCTACTTCCAGTCTCCACTGAGCTGTTCTAACCCCAAATAAAGCTCCCCTTGGTCTTCTTTACCCTTCACTGTGTGTGTACCCTATTCTTTCTGGATATAGAACAAGAACTCAGGCAAAGGTACCACTGGCCACAAAAATTTTCAGAAAGAAAATTGACACCCCAAAAATCCCAAAACACAGTGACAGCATATTCTTGATCTTGTACAAATCTCAATATAGAAAAAGGGACACTACTGGAGAAATTAATAAATATTTTCATAAGAATCAACTTAAAGGAGACTTAAGCTTTTTGAGAATCTTCAGATTAAACAGACTCTCCAGGAGATACACATTGTTCACCCAGGGGTATCCATCAGCACCTGGCACACCGCAGTGTCTCTGGGATATGTAAAACCTTTTTAGAAAAGAAAAAGGAACCTAAGGGTTCGACTTGAGGAGGACATTCAGAAATCACTTAAGTGAATGGGACTCTTCGAGGATGATTTTTGCAAACTGTAGAAGTAGTCAAGGTCGGGCTTCTCCTTCCCAGGTTGATAATATTAGGTAAATTCTGCAGCTACCGGTGCAGCTCCTACTAACATTCCAAGTAAGTTATCAGTCTTATATGCACACACCCATACATGTGTGTGGGGGGGGGTGTTGGGGGTGTGTATGTAAGACTAATATTTATATATATGTATATGTATACATATATATATATAGAGAGAGAGAGACTGAAAAATGGCTGTAGCTGTGGATAATGAAGTACAAGTACATCATCAGGTCAAAGTTTTGTGGCATTTCTAAATCAGCTTATATAGTATTAAAAATTGGCCAGCAAATGACATCTATTTATGCATTTCAAAAGTACTTAAATGACAGTTCTAAGGGCACTACATAATACTTTATGTTCCCTGTATAACACTGTGGTTTCTTATTCCATCAGTATGTGAAAGATTTTCTCTCATCTCTGAATTAGGTTAATTGAATACATCTCAGTGTGGCATTGGCTCTAAAACCACTTTAGGCTTCCCAGCACCTTCCAAATTCTGTTGCCTCAGGAGGTCTTAGCCCATGATCCAGCATAATGAAGACCCTGGCAGTATTAGGAGGACTGCTATATATACTTGTTTCCTTGACTTGGATGTGTTCTGGGGACGGTATAAGAGTGGATCTTGACTTATGGTGCCTTGAAGGGATAGTTTCTCACTGACCATGAGTCATGGGGCTTGGAGTTGTCAGAACCTGATGGCTTCATCCTCAAGGTCTGTAATTCAATAATTCTTCTTAGTCCCATGCTTTTTTCCCCTTGACTCAAGCTAATACCACTGGGTGAAGGAGGGTAGTACACTCAAGTTGCTCTTATTTTCTCTGAGGTTTCTCAGAAATAGTCTTTCTTCTTCTACTTTTTCCTACTTACCAGCTACTAGAATTGCCTACCAAGTCATCCTTGGACCATCTGCTTTTCTCCATGACACTCTCTTGCCATTGCTGGTACCTCAATCACACATTCTTAACTGGCCTCGCTTATCTCATTGCCTCTCTTCCCCTCCAGAACATCATTGCATATTCTTTTAAGATACAACTCCAACCAAATCCTATCTTGACACCAATTTCCATCACCGCTTAAGGATTATGCATCAGATGAGCTACTTAGTCATTTTCAGAAAGCTGGGACTAATTATTCCATAGGCTATCTTCCACTTGAGAAAATAATTTACTTTTATATGAAATGGCCATGTACCTTTATATAATCCCTTTTCAGTAGGCACTCTCTTCATTTTTAGCTTATATGAGATAATATTTATGAATAAAGTTTATTTTATCTCATTAGACGTCTATCATTATTGTCTATAATTTAGTAAAAGTTGGATTGTCAAAGGCTGAGCTCTGGGGCCTTCTAATGCTAGGGACC